TTTTATAAAATATTTGGAAAATTTGTAAAAAAAAATTTAGATTTAAATGTTTAAATTTAATACAAATTTCAATTTTTGCAACAGCTGCAAATATGTCTCACACATATAAATCTAACTAAAAAATAAAAAGTTGAATGTGTAGCAGAATATTCTTCAGTTTATAGCAAGAGGTATGCTTAAAAAGTTGCTGGAATGTTGAATTTCCGTTGGTTACGCATATATAAGAATCAACATGTTCGTAAATTAAGTTAACGTGTTTGGCCATTATTAATGCTTTGTTAGTTTTTAGTAAAATATTAATGTAAAGTGAAATATAATAACTAACAGCTAAGATTTTGAAGAGATGAAAAAAAAAAAAAATAAATAAATAAAATAAAATAAATATATACAAAGAGAAGCCTTCATATACAACCAAACTCTTTGAGCAGACCTCGTCTAGAATAGTGTTTAACAAACATTAAATATTATATTACAATGATAATTTCCCAGATCAACTCACTCATTACCAATGCCGCCTCCACCCGCATACCCGTAAGTTTACAGGGCATCTGTGCAATGGCAACTGGTGCCTCATATTTGGTCTTGTTTGTCTTCACTTGTCGGAAGGACGCACGAGCATAACTTTTGACTTGTGTCACTAAAAGTTACACAGCCTGTTTGCCTGCCAAAGCACAACATATACTCGCAGTGCGCCAACTGAGCAGAAACTGCACAGAAACTGCACAGAAAATTGCATTTGCGTTGCCCGTTTCCAATTTCAACTCAGCTCAGCTGCGAAAGTTGGACTGGGCGAAACAGTTTTTAATAACATTTCGTTGTGCGGCATGATTTGACTTTGGGCGGCGGCCGAGTGCTGCCGCAGCTGACGCAGGTATCGATGGATCTGATTGCGATTTCCGGCAGCAGAAGAAACAAACCAAATACTTAGTTTAGCTGACCACAAAGGCGAATAATGTCTTGAGTTGAATAAGCCAAGTGTTAAATTGAAATGCAGTTAAAGTGCGCTACAACTTGTTGGCGGCTGCTGTTGGTCAATAAAACGAGTTTATGGCAGGTGATAGGGGTCGGGTTGGCTAAAAGTTAAAAGCCACTGCAGATTCTTAAATATATACATATGTATGTATATTGAAACAGTCGTAAATGTGATGGATTACCACGATGACAGACAGTTCTCTTATGCGAGTGTGTGTGTGTACACTGTACAGGTCGTCTGTGGGCGGGCTACTCCCGCCCTGTTTTTACGAGGCATCCTTTTAACATTAAGTATACGCAGTGTGCGCATGCAAAGACTCAGCATCAATGTATGTGTGTATGGGTGTGTGTGTGTGTGTTTGGTGTAAAGGCCTTCGAGTAGTAAAGATTTGATTAAATCCTTAGTTCAAACATTCAACTTTCAGTTTAAGCGCATTTGAGCTTGAAGTTGGTGCGCAAGCTTTGCGCAAACGTTTCACTCAATAGTTTTCTAGCTGCTAAGCAGCAGCCATGTGTATGTGTGAGTGTGTGAATGCATTCTCTACTCAACGCTAATGCACTTTGCTGCTGATAATCAAAGTCTTTTGCTGCTGCCGTTCTCCATTTAGCTGAATGCTTAAAAAATCTTTAAAGCCGACTAGAAAAACATTCACCTTGCTTTAAATTGAATAGAGTAATACAATAAATACTATAGAAAAGGAAAATATTTTTGGTTGTTTAGTAGATGAATTAAGCACATTTTACTAATTCCATTATAATAATTGTCCGGGAGTTGGATTGAATATTTTGTTAGCAATTTGCAAACGAAATTCGAACATCCGATATTAAGTATGCGCCCCGTGTGTTGTGAAGGGCTTTGCCCCAGCTCTTTGCAAAAAATCTAACCCTATAAAGGGGAGAACGTAAAACAAAATTCAAAATGCTCTCATCTCTCGTCCTCGGTCTTCTCGGTCTATGCAAATTGAGCGCTGTGAGGCATATTCAAACTAGTTTTTGGTTAGCTATTTGATATTCCAGTCGTTCACACAGCATCCAAACTATCGATGCACATATATAATTGAGTTAGGTATTTGAGAGAGGGGGCTGTTTGTTGTGGCCTACACTATAAATAACTAATCGAATAAGCTTTTAAATTTATTAACACTAAAATACAAAAAATGGAAACTAATTATTATTAATTATAAATGGAAATTTTTGTATTGCTTTCATTAACATTTTCGTTTTGCTGTCATTGCAGTATCCGATTTCAACGAATCACTCTCCCAATTGTATGAGGAACATGCAACTGCCCTTCAGACTCTAGTGTCCAATTATCGCAAGAAGAATGCCGAGCTGCGCAAGGAGAGGTATGTGAGCCTGTCAAGCATACGAAATTCAATGGATATTTTTTAATGATATGGTTTTTATTTTTGTTTGTGCTTTCATTTTCATTTTCATTTTCAATTACAATTTCATTTTCGCTTTCATTTTTGTTTTCGTTTTCGGTTTCGTTAAATGTTGACAGACCCGCCTGCCATCTGGCCATCTTTCAGGCATGGGAAACATTCCTGCAGGAAACGGAAACCGACTCGCAGGCCTGCAACGATGTTGCCAGCGTCCTCAGCCGCCAGGTGAGAGAGCATTTATATACGGTGTGACTGTGTGTGTTTGAGTGTGTGTGTGTAAGAGTTGTTGACAGTTAAATGGATTACTCGTGTTGACCTCAATGAAAACATAAACCGAAAAACCAAAAAAACCCCAACCCAACCATTTTACGAGTGCAACGAAAATAGATTGTTGCTGTCATAAGCGTTAATTGAATAATGGGCCTAGTTAAATCAATCGCGGGCTATTCAGAACATTTCATTATGTATATATTTGTTACATTTATGCATGCGTATGTTACATGTATACAAGTCAACTAATTACACTTAATGTGCGCAGCGCTTGGGGTTGGCTATTTGAGTGTGTGTGTGTGCGTTTGCCTGTGTGTGAGTGCGCGTGGACTATTCCTGTGTATGTGCGCCCTGGGAATTCATAAGTGTAATTGAAGCGACGCATAATGTCATCACTTTTTTTATACACCTGCTATCTATAGATTAAAGGGTATATACAGCTGTTATGGAGATATGGAGAGATAGCTTGTAATTACTATATATGTTGATATATACTTATATATCTGTTCGGCTATACTATTTAAGGTAGTCGTAGTAGTTAGTTCTTTTATCTGTCCTTTGTCTACCCAAATTATCTAATTTTATTATATATATATTTTTTTTGTAGCTATAAAACGAAGTGTTAGGCATGTAGTAAGTGTGTCCAAGTATGCTTATCTGAATTATACATTTATGTATATCAAGCAGAGGCACTGCAGTCGAGTATGTCCCTTCCCTGTCATGTGTTAAGCAATTTGTTTAAACGTATATATATATAGAATTCTATATACATGAACATACATATATGTACATCACACTCATACATAGTTGCACTCAAACCTGCTACTTCACATATAATGCCCTCACATTGCTTCTTCTTCTTCTTCTGAACTGCACATATGCGATGCACGCCTCGTTGCATTTAACGACCGCCCCGCTCTTCTTTTATAAACTCTATGAAAAATGCTTTATTGAATAGCTTAAGTGTGAATGTGTCTGAATTTATGAGTTATTTGCATGAAAATAGTGGACAAAGTTTCCGTCTTTAAACAATGAATTCCCTTTTAGTTATAGATGAATTCGATCTAGAACATGATGAAATTTCTATATCAACAAGAGATTCAGGGTTTATACATAGACATAGAGATCTAGTACAGCTGAAGTGATTCAGTTGAGAAAAATACAAAATCAATGAAAATAGTTATAGGTATCTAGCTATAAAATGAAGAGAATGTCATACAAAGTGAATATATTTCCCTCCCATTTATTCCACAGTCAAACCCAGGATATTTGCTAGTCGCTCACATACTATTTACAATTTCATTCTAATTTGTTTTTTATTGTAAAACATTTTGTTATATATTCTTTTATGGCCTGTGTTTTGCTTCTTTTTTTCGAGCCATTTGGTTTTCATTAGCATTTTGCATGATGATTTGCATTTTGGCTTAAACAAAACGTGGGGCGAGGCAAAAAATTATTAAAGACTTTAACGGGCCGAGCTGGATGAATGTGTGCGTGTGTGTATGAAAAGACATCAAAAACAATTTATTTGCCTATTATAAATTAATTAAATTCTCTTTTATATCTTTTTCATGTTCGCCTTTGGTATTTTATATTTTATATTTGGGTTTATTTTTCTTCTCAGGTATCTCGGCCCATGCTGGATAAATCCTTTCATCGCAAAGTTCAAAGTCGCAAAATCTTTACGCACAGGGAGTCTTTTGAGACTATAATCGCCAAGACTGAAGAAAAGCTGTCAAAGGTGCGTTAACCAATAAAGCAACAGCAACAACAACAACAACAACAAGGGCATGCAACATTATTAAGTGGCATGCCAAGTGCGTCTTATTAATGAGCTGCACTTAATGTTGCCAAGCAGTTGTTGGCTTATTAAGTGGCGCAGCGTGTGTCAACAATAATTGTGTATGCTGGCAAGCAGAAAGCAGCTTAAAGCCACAGCCACACACACACACACACACACATACGCACGCATACATGTGTGCGCATTCAGCCATTTATATTACGTATACGCCATGCTGCCGCTTGTCCCTTGACAATTGCCTCTGTATTGTTTTCCTTTTTTCTGTATTTTTTTTTTTTTTTCGTTTCCTTTTTGGGCTATTTGTTTTGCAGTGTCGCCTGGACTACAAGCAATGCCATCTGGCACATAGGCAAAACCCCAGCCAGCACTCGCTGACCGAATATATCGATGCGCACAATGCGTACGTGCAGCAGTTGCATGCCACCAATGGCATGCTGGAGGCCTACCATTGCGACACATTGCCCCAATTGATGCAGGAGCTGGAGGAGATACACAACGACCTATGCAACATTGTTTCCGATTCGTTGCAACAGGGCGCCGATGTAATTGCCGCCAAGGTGAGTTCGCATTATCTGGATTTATGGCTACGTGCCGCAATTTGTTGCAACTGTTGCCAGCATCAGCAGGATCTGCAGCAGCGGCAGCAGCAGCGGCAACAGCAGCAGGTGGTTGCTTGACACAATTTCCAGCACTGGAATTTGCTCGTGGCTTAATTTGCACTTGTCGTGGAAAACAATTTCATCACCATTATAATAATTGCTCATAATTGCGTCCAGGTGCGCAAATTGCGCCCGGCAATTGCCCATAATGTTCGCTGCGTGCGAACAGACATCAAAAACACATTTTCATTTATATAACAAAATAAATAATACCCTTAGCTCTATATATGTATGGGTATATGTCGATATGTATATTCAAGTATAATTGCTTTACATGTATTTGCAGGCCACGGACCAGTCGCGGCGCTACGGCTGCTTGGCCAGCCAGTGCAGCGCCGTCCAGCCACAGCAGGATCTGCTGAACTTTGTCCGTCTGCTGGCGCAGCCATCGCAGGCTCAGAAGGTGCCACGACGCGTCTTTGCCCCACCTCAAGCACAGCAGCCGGGCGAACCGGCCGACGAGGCAGCTGACTACAATGTAAGCAAATGCACCATGGGATATTATAGTTTATTTTAATAATATAGAATATTCAAGTTTTGCAATATACACACGAGGATAGTCAGAATTATTATGAATATAGGATAGAAGACTTAGAGGGATAAGTTAAATAGACAAAAATAATTTTTATTTATTTTTTTTTTATCAGCATTTGCAAACTGAAAGAAATAGAAAGATTCATATGACATAAAATACAGAATTGCTTGAAATTCATTTATTAATAACTTTATGCCAAATTTATTTAATTTCTTTTAGCCATTCAAGCGAAGCATGAAAGAAGAAGTATAGAAATATATTTTTAATATTTTTTAGCCATTCAAGCGAACATGAATGAAGAAATATAGAAATATATTTGATATATTTTTAATATTTTTTATATGTAATTTAATTTTAATATATTTTTAT